CATGAGTGGAAGACGGCATTTAATACCCGTAGTGGACACTATGAATATCTGGTAATGCCATTTGGGTTATGCAACGCCCCGGCCGTATTCCAAGACTTTATAAATGATGTACTCAGGGAATTCATTTACTCATTTGTCTTGGTTTATTTGGACGATATTTTGGTGTATTCCCCTGATCTTCAAACTCACCACTCCCATGTGAAACAGGTTCTGCAGACGTTGTTGAAAAATAAACTTTATTGTAAATTAGAAAAGTGCATATTTGACCAGCCTGAAGTCCACTTTTTGGGTTACAACATCTCTGCATCGGGATTTCAAATGGATCCTAAAAAACTAGAGGCTGTACTACACTGGCCATTACCCTCTGGTTTAAAAGCCATTCAAAGGTTTATTGGTTTTGCCAACTATTACAGAAGATTCATCAAGGGATTTTCTTCTGTAATAGCCCCAATCACAAATATGACTCGCAAAGGGGTTAGTAGCACGGTATGGTCCAAAGAGGCTGTGAATGCTTTTGAGACTCTTAAACAAAGATTTGCCTCTGCGGACATACTAAAACATCCTGACACCAGTAAACCTTTTATATTGGAGGTTAATGCATCCGAGACAGGGGTAGGGGCTGTTCTCTCTCAGAGAGAAAGCCAGGGAACACCATTGAATCCTTGTGGCTACTTCTCCAGAAAGATGTCTCCTGCTGAGCGCAACTATGATATTGGCAATAGAGAACTGTTGGCCATTATTCTTGCCCTCAAGGAGTGGCGACATCTTTTGGAGGGTTCCAAGGACCCCCTGTTGATCATAACCGACCACAAAAATCTGGCATATATAGGGGATGCCAAACGTTTGTCTTCCAGACAGGCTAGATGGTCACTGTTCCTTTCACGTTTTAACTTTCTCATTACTTATAGACCTGGTTCTAAAAATACCAAGGCTGATGCCTTGTCCAGGCAATTTGATAATGAGTCAGCTCCGGAACAGATGACATCTCCTATTATTCCAGCAGAGTGTATTATTGCTACTACTGTCCTCTCACTGTCTTCTCCACTGCTTGGCACCATACTGGAGGCCCAGCCTCAGGCGCCCAGTGGTAAACCGTGTGATAAACTGTTCGTTCCCCTATGTGAAAGGGTTAATATCATGAAAGTGTTCCATGACAATATAACTGCTGGACACCCGGGCATCAATAAGTCCACTGCCGCGATCACTAGATCATTTTGGTGGGATTCACTCAGGAAAGATGTAAAGGAGTATGTGCAGGCATGTTCTGTGTGTGCAGTTTCTAAGGTGACTCATGCACTTCCTTGTGGCCTGTTGCAGCCTCTTCCTGTTACTGAGATTCCATGGTCCCACCTATCCATGGACTTTATTGTTGAGCTTCCTAGCTCTGCTGGGTTCACTACTATTCTCATGGTTGTAGACCGATTTTCTAAGATGGCTCACTTCATTCCTCTCAAGAAGTTGCCATCTTCGCAAGATTTGGTCCTAATTTTCATACGTGAAATTGTCCGTTTGCATGGCATCCCCCACAATATTGTGTCTGATAGGGGCTCTCAGTTTGTGTCCAGGTTCTGGAGGGCGTTCAGTAAACAATTGGGGATTGATCTCTCCTTCTCCTCCTCCTACCATCCACAGACCAATGGTACAGCTGAGAGGGCTAACCAGTCATTAGAAGTTTATTTGCGTTGTTTTATTAATAGCACACAAGACAATTGGTCCAAACTACTCCCGTGGGCCGAGTTCGCTAGAAACAATGCTGTTCATGACTCCTCTGGGCACAGTCCATTTTTTGTCAATAATGGTAGGCATCCTATGGTTCTCCCTGCGGTATTTTCTGATACTGCCATTCCTGCTCTGGATGAGCGTCTGGCCTCCATTCGGGATACCTGGGTTAAGGTTCAAACTGCTCTAAGGGCTGCTGCTGAACGCTTCAAACATTTTGCTGATAAGCGTAGGAGTGCCAACCCGGTGTACCAAGTGGGGGACCGGGTTTGGTTGTCATCTCGCAACATCAAGCTTAAGGTCCCTAGCATGAAGTTTGCCCCCAGATTCCTTGGTCCCTATAGAGTGCTTCGTAGGATCAATCCAGTGTCTTACTCTCTGGCTCTTCCTGCATCTTTAGGGATTCCCAACACTTTTCATGTGTCCTTACTCAAACCTCTTGTCTGCAATAGATATACTGTTCCTTGTGTTCCTCCCCCTCCGGTGGTGGTGGGTGGTCAGGAAGAGTATGAGGTATCTTCTATCGTGGATTCTAGGTTTTCTCGGGGCACTTTACAGTACTTGGTTGTTTGGAAAGGTTACGGTCCTGCTGATCGTTCTTGGGTTTCGGCTCCTGACCTGCATGCGGGCCGTAAGATCCGCGCTTTTCACGCTAAATTTCCTCTCAAGCCTGGTCCTGTCCGCCCGGTGGGCGTTCTTCAGGTGGGGGGTAATGTCACATATTCATCCGCTTATAGAAATGTGGTTAATGACATTTACTGTCCACACAGGAAAAGTTGTGCCGAGCAGCAACCTAATCCACAGAAGGGTTAATGCTGAGCAGCAATTATGCAAATGAAACCTGGTAACTGACTTTGGGGTCAAAGGCCGGTTACAGCCTATCAGAACTAAAGGAGGGGTATTTAGGCCCAGTTCTCAGCCTGCTCAGTGCCCTGTCGTGGTTTCCCTTGTGGTTGTCTGAGAGCGCGTTCCTGTTTATAGTTTTCTACCTGGTTTTTGACTTTGGCTTTGTTTATTGACTTCTCTATATTCTGGTATCCTGACTCCTGGCTTTCCTCATCGCTGTGTCCCTTTCTGTGTTCCCTGATCTCGGCTAGTATTTTTGACTATTCTTTGTACATTAAATCCGGCCATTCTAAGGACCAGTAATACGTTACTTATTTGTCATCCGTGCTGTACAGTTCTACGTGCTGGATCAAACAGTAATCCTGACACCTTTCTTCATAGCTGATATGTTCCATTCCTTTTATTAATTTTGTAGCCCACCTCTGCACTTTTTCTAGTGCCATAATATCCTTCTTTAGAACAGTTGCCCAAAATTGCACAGCATAATCAATATGTGGTTTTACCAGTGATTTATAAAGAGGAAAAATGATATTCTCGTCCTGAGAACGAATGCCCTTTTTCATACATGACAATACCTTACTGGCCTTGGCCACTGATGATTGACATTGCACATTGTTGCATAGTTTGTTGTCTATTACAATACCCAAGTCCTTTCGTGTGTCTTTTTCCCTAATTCGCTTCCATTAAGGATATACGTTGCTTATGTATTCTTTACGCAGAAGTGCATAACTTTGCATTTTTCAACATTAAATTTCATCTGCCATTTGAGTACCCAGTCCCCCAGTCTATCTAAATCCCTCTGCAGCAAAGTAATATCTTGCTCACATTGTATTATTTTACAAAGTTTTGTGTCATCTGCAAACACTGAAACATGACTTTCAATGCTGTCTTCAAGATTATTTCTAAACATGTTAAATAGAAGGGGTCCCAGAACCGACCCCTGAAGGACACCACCTGCCACCTCTGTCCAGCTTGAAAATTTACCATTAATGACAACTCTTTGTACTCTGTTTATAAGCTAATGTTCTACCCAAGAACAAGCATTTTCATCTAGACCGATTTCCTTGAGTTTGAACACTAATCGAATCTTTCACATCCATATGCTCAAAGAGTATCTTGAGAGACCAGAAGATGTGGCAGCCATATGTAGTCCCACACACAAGGACCCTGACAGCCTCCCTATACCTGACCTATTGGAAAACAAACCCACCCTAACTTAGTCGAACAGGTCCAGATAGGTGACAGGCTAAGCCACACTGTGAAGGAACAGCTAAATATCTTACTGCAAGAGTAGCAACTTATGTTTTCCCAAGAACCTTGGTATACTAACCTAGCCACGCACCAAGTGGATACCCCAGGACAGCAACTCCTAAGACAGGCTCCTTACCACATCCCTGAGGCTGTTCGAGCAGAGATAAGGAAAGAGATAAATGAGATGCTCAGAAGTCATTGAGTCCTCTGACAGCCCCTGGGCATCCCCAGTAGTTTTGGTGCCCAAAAAGGATGGTACTATCAGGGTCTGTGTTGATTATCGCAAGCTCGACAACAAGACCATGACAGACGCCTACCCAATGCCCCCGAGTAGATGAGCTTCTTGATCGCATTGCCAGCGGGAACTACTTAACTACCATTGACCTATGTAAAGGTTATTGGCAGATCCCCCTGGCCAGGGAGGCTATCCCCAAGTCAGCATTTGTCACCCCATTTGGCTTGTACCAATTTAAGGTCATGCCATGAAAAATGCCCCAGCTATGTTCCAGCGCTTGGTGGATAGACTCCTTGATGGCTTCCAGGATTTTTCCTGTGCATACCTGGATGACATATCGATCTATAATGAGTCCTGAGAGGAACACTTGGCTCAAGTAGGAACGGTCTTGGATCAGATTCGGGCCACCGGCCTGACTCTGAAACCAGAGAAATTCCATTTTGGAATGGCAGAGGTTCAGTACCTGGGTCACCGGGTAGGGTGTGGAAAGCAACGTCCCGAGCCAGCCAAGATAGAGGCAGTTGCTAATTGGCCAACACCCCGCACCAAGACCCAGGTTCTAGCCTTCCTGGGCATTGCTGGGTACTACAGGTGATTAGTTCAGGACTACAGTACTTTTTCTAAACCCCTGACTGACCTGCTTAAAAAAAATCTTCCCAGACAGGTCCTGTGGTCTCCCCACAGTGAAGCAGCATTCCAGGCACTCATGAATGCACTAGCCAATGCTCCTGTCTTGGCTGCCCCAGCCCCAAACGTTTTATTGTTCATACAGATGCCTCCATGTTCAGGCTGGGGGCAGTCCTCAGCCAAGTAGGAGAAGACGGAGGGGAGCATCCTATTGCCTACATCAGCCGAAAGCTCCTGCCACGAGAAGTCAGCTATGGCCCTGGTGTGGGCATTAAAGAAATTGACTCCCTACCTGTATGGACAAGAGTTCACACTGGTTATCGATCATAACCCATTGGTGTGGCTAAACCGGGTCTCAGGGGACAATGGCAGGTTGTTATGTTGGAGCCTGTCCTTACAGCCATTTAATTTCACCATTGCTTACAGACCTGGGAAACAAAATGGCAACGCCGATGGGTTATCAAGGCAGACATACCTCAGCCCTGAGTTACTTCTGTTCTGGACAGCCTTAAGTTGCCCCGAAAAGGGGTCAAACCTTGTCGCCAGAGTGTTCCACAAGGAGGGAGCCATGTTACAAATTCCCCTCTGTCTGCTACAACCTTGCTACTTTGTTGTTTAATTTCACAAAAAATGTCTCAGTTCATTCGTATGTACAAATAACAGACCACCCGGCCCTGGCGTGTGCCGCTAAATAACCTTGTTCACCTCTACAATACCAAATAAACTATTGAACGACCAACCACCCTACCTGAGGAGTGTGCCCTTATTAACCACCCAGGAGTTACTGTTTTGTGGTTAACCGCAGCCTAATTGGCAGTCAACAGGGTGGTCGCCGTTCATCTGAAAGTGTTGAACTAAATACCGAAAAAAGTATTGAACGATTGACCACCCTACCTGAGGAGTGTGCCCCTCCTTAACCACCCAGGAGCTGCGGTTTTGTGGTTAACTGCAGCCTAATTGACCATCGACGGGGTCGTTCGTATACATGAAAACGTGGCGGCGGCCATCTTTAACTGCCGAACGCTCAGTGGGACCTGGTCGTCAATCGCCTGGTACTTTCTTCGGATACTAATTCATAAGAACCCTGCTGGGATTTCTCAGGCCCCATCCGTTCGTGTATAAAATACCGAAGACCGTTCTGTTCAGTATTTTAAGACTACGTAGAGTGTATTGTTGTGCTATTTGGAACAGTATGAAATTCTAGTATCCAGAAAACAATATGGATGCTGGTATACTGGCCTGGACATTACGTAATGCTGTTTTAACACAGGTCAAAGGAACTTTGTATTTTGTAACCTTAAAAAGTAAACAGGAGAAATACTAATCTACAGTTTAATTTGTGAGCTATATGTGTACAAGGGTAACAAGAACAATGGTTTATTACTCAATGGGACTTTACAATCCGAGATACTTAAACTCACAGAGCTTCAAAGGGGTATACAAACTATGCAATTGTTTGTGCATAAACATCACAGGCAATCCAGAATGTTTGTCAGCCATACGAACCCAAAGTCTGAGGTCGCTTCCATATTTTCAGGATATTAGAACTTAAATTAATCAATTAGAATCATGCATGATATACAAATGTAAACTAAATGTGTGATTGCTACAGTAATGTCTAAAACTGCATCCTTGACTGATGTAGGGGTAAAAGGTAATATAGTTATACTAATATAATTAGATTCTATTTTTCTTTGTAAAGATGAATGTATCAATCAATTATTCATACAGGTTAGATGGATACAGGCTATAGACATATTGCATGATGATTAATATAACCAACCCTGTTTCAATTAAAGAATATAACAAAGACAGATAGTTCACGTAATTTGAACTATCCCCAGTATAGGCGAATTAAAAGTCAATTAATTTATTTAACCAGGTCATCAATGATCTAATTCAGGTCTTCATACCTAGGGAAATAGTGCCATCTATTGATGAAAGTCCCTAAGGCCCTAATAATTAAATATTAAGATACGCCCATAACCAATCAAAAGCCAGATTTAAGTCCCAGGTACTGCCCATTTACAAACAAGGGGCAGGAACTGATAAGGGGGAAATAATGGTTAAATAGGGAGAAAAATAAGAGAAGAGGATTCAATATCTTCAGATCATCTTAAAAAAGATCAAAGGAGAAAACAGAGGGCTAAGAAAGGAGGAGATTGACTGACTAAGGGCAATAGACTGAGTTACAGACCAGATCACCCAGAGAGGAGAATCCCAAATTGAATTCCTTCATCCTAGACTCTTGGTAATGTATAAAGGTTTCTCTTTACCGTATGTTAAGTAAACTAGACTATTGAATGCCCTGTGTCTATATTGTGAACTGACCCCTATTGATAGAACAGTTATATCTCATTCTACCTGCAGCCTGAGTCAGATTTAACTTCCTAAGTCGGAACATTCTTGATTCCTTCTTTAGATGTAGATCAGTTCAATATATATATATATATATATATATATATATATATATATATATAAACATGCAAAGAACCCTTGCACTCCAACTTATAGAAAACAATACCTGGTGCTCTGGTGGCTCGGGTGAAGATAAAGAAGGGATACCGGCACTCAAGGAATTTCAAAAATTTACTTCTTAATTTGCATCTGAAATCGACGTTTCAGCTCCTCTGACCTTTGTCCTGATGAAACGTCGATTTCAGATGCAAATTAAGAAGTAAATTTTTGAAATTCCTTGAGTGCCGGTATCCCTTCTTTATATATATATATATATATATATATATATACTAAGGCTATCAGAAACCTTATATAAACGTACTGTAGTTAAACTGATGGTATATACTTGGCAGGGTTGGTTGATATTTAACTAATTAATAAAATGACAATTGTATCATTAATGCAAAGGGTGTCATATGAATAATTCTGTATACAGGTGTTGTTAAGTTTGTAATAACTTTTATTGTCCTTTGCTGATAAGATTATAGATGAGACAAAGTGTAATTTTGACTCTTAGGCTTGTCAAGTAAACTAATTGACTTGTTGATATAAACTCATATATAATATAGCAAATTGATCATAGTTGTATTGTTTTGTTGCTTTGCATTTTATAGTGTGTATTATTAAACTTATATATATTTTAAGCAAAGTCTGTTTATTGGCCATCTGCCATTCATAAGTGTTTATATCACCGCTTAAAACAAAGAACGACAGGGTCCCTGAAGGCTCTATGTGTGTGTTAATATCAACAGATATTATTCAATCTATATTCCATACATATAAAACCATAGATTACCCAACAATTCCGATCCCTTGCAGGACACTATGGCCGAGGATTCCTGGGCTAATAACTGCTGAACAGCCCTCAAGACAATCTTTATCCCCATGGGATCTGAGCACTTTTCGTATATCTTGTACACTCAGATCCAAGCTATCTGGGGATAGGTTGAATGTGACAATTAAAGAATATGGTGTATAAGTTATGTATTTTTATTCAGTTTTAATGTATCTATAAAAGTTAGACTATTGCCTGTACCTGGACATAACTTGAGTTACTGTAATCCTTGAAACTAATTATCTCCAGGCTAGAGGGGAGGGTTTGAAAAGATGCACTTTGTCCCCATTGGTTATTGTCCCTTGTCACCATGTGTACCATCAGGTCCAGAGGGGTGTGCCTCTGGCCTGAAAATATGGATTTAAGCAGTGCATGAGTGATCAATAAACCAGTCTTCTTACCCTCAACTCGCAGCCTCGACTCGCGTTGTAAGGAAATGTGTTATGCTAGCTCTACCTATAGCTAGCTGTTCTACACTTGCAGGATTATCGCTGGATGCTGTTTGGAAATTTGCTACTGCTCTCCAGAATTGGGAACCAGGACATCTAAGCGGTCCAACTCTCAGCCACCCTGAGGTCAACCGTAACTAACCATACAACTATTCTGGATATCCAGCAACCCATAGCCCTTCCAGAACCAGGTCTAAAAGGTAATTCTGACCCTTTACATTCAAGGTACATCTCATCCTGCAAAATTTTAAACGGGACATTCTAGAGGGTAAATGGTGTTTTGGAGACTATGGTGAGGCATAATAGAAAGCAGTTGTTGTTGGGGGATTCTATCATAAGAGGTGTGGAGCTGGACAATAGTGGTCTTGCAAGATGTCTCCCCGGAGCTACTGCTCACAGAGACAGGAGACGTATTTGTAATATTGTTTTGCGAGCAAAGCAGGAAGGGGAATTGGATGTACTTGGGTACTCTTTATATAGAAATGACAGGGAAAGCAAGAAAGGGGGAGGGGTGGCCCTGTATGTGAAGGATAGCATGAAATCTAGCATAATAAAAATTAGTGAGGCAATGACAATGAGGGGGGAAGTTATCATCATGGGTGACTTTAATTTTCCTGATGTGAATTGGAAAACGAAAATAGCTGTTTGTATTAGGAGCACACATATTCTAAACTCTCTACTGGGATTGTCACTAAAACAAGTTTTTGAGGAGCCAACTCGTAAATAGCCCATACTAGATTTAGTGTTAACAAATGGAGATTTGGTATCAGATATTACTGTAGGTGAAAGTTTAGGATCCAGTGATTATTAGTCAGTATGGTTAAACATAAGAACAGTGACTGAGTCACACCACACAAAAACAAACGTTTTAGACTTTAGAAAAACAGACTTTCTAAAATTAAAATATTTAACCAATCATTGTTAACAGGAGTAGTCCCAGAAGAAGTTAGCGAATGGTGTGCCCATTCAAAAGAAAAGTAGTAGGGAGGAGTCGGGCAACTATAGGCCAGTACGCCTTACTTCAGTAGTGGGGGAAGTAATAGAAACCATGTTAAAAGATAGGATTGTTGAACATCTAAAATCACATGGATTTCAAGATCAGAGGCAACATGGGTTTACTTCAGGGAGATCATGCCAGACTAATCTTATTGATTTTTTTGATTGGGTAACTAAAATAATAGATAAGGGTGGTGCAGTAGGCATTGCTTACCTAGATTTCAGTAAGGATTTTGACGCTGTTGCACATAGAAGGCGTATCAATACATTGCAATATTTAAATTTGGATTCCAATATTGTTGAATGGGTGAGGCAGTGGCTTAGTGACAGGCAACAGAGGGTTGTAGTCAATGGAGTATATTTGAAGCATGGGCTTGTCACCAGTGGGGTACCTCAGGACCTATTACTTGGGACCCTGTACTTGGACCCATTCTCTTGAATGTTTTTATTAGTAATATTGCAGAAGGTCTTGATGGTAAGGTGTAGTGGATGGCACTGGGCTGTCATGCAAATTTCATGAATAACTGCATTCGTGTAACCTGCTAGTTTTATATGTGTTTAAAAGAAATGTATTCCTCTGATTGTTCGGTAGAATCATTCGAATAAACTAAGGGACTGAAACTACCGAACAATCAGACCTCCCCTGTGTGAAGTGTGCCTTCAATTACCTGTTGCAACAATGTAATTGACGAGCTATGCAGGAGGTCTTTTGTCTCGGGGTGGCCGCTATTCGGGAAACGAACACGTGGTGGTGGCGATTTTACAAACTCCCGAACAGTGGTGTTTTGCCGTCGAGTGTCTG